TATATGATTTATAAAAAGAATTAAAAGCGAAAATGTGAAAAAACGCCAGTTTTTGTGAAAGTATTAGAAAATTTCAGTGCATCTAAAGTTTCTAAAGCGTTGTTTACTTTTACTTGAGAATTGAGTAGCGGTTTCTGGAACGTGCCACATTTGTCCGCTACATCGTGATGTGATAAAAAGAAAAGCGGGCAGCACTCCGCAAGGTTGCAGAAATCTTTCAAAATATGTTCGAAAAATATCTTGATATGGAAGGAACTGCTTTACACTGTCAAGGAAAAAAATTGCCAAAACTCGACGGAATTTTTAGCAACTTCAATCTTGCACTTTATTGTACTAAAATTAAATTTTCTTGGATTCGAATTAAAATGTTTGCAATTTAGGTGAAACCTTGCAGAATATTTTTAATTGTTGTACAAAGTCTGATTCAAAATCTGAGATCTACCACATTTTTTTTTAGTTGTTGTACAAAGTTTGATTCAAATCTGAGATCTACCACATTATTGTTAAATCTACCACATTTTTTTACAGATTCTACCACACAAATTTTTTTTCAAGTCCGATCACTGATGGGACCTTGAAAAATATGCGGTATGATTTTGCACAGGTGTCTCCGCAATTTTCAGCTCGGTGCCGTTAATGTAACCGATACAGAAAGGAAGTTCATCGTATGTCAAATCAAAAATTTTTTACGTCCCGTTTTTTAAGGCCATTTTATATACCGGGTTTGCTATTTTAAATTTTCCTTGAAAACTCCCTGATTTTCGGTATTGTGCCACGATTTTCCTTATTGATGAACTCTCTCCTGATGAACCAAAACGAAATAGAACAACGGCTAACTGTAACTCTATAGGAAACTACTCGCATGCATGCGATTTACTGAATTCCCCATGGTCGCGAATCAATGCTAAAAGATTAGCGAACTGCAATCGATTGACCCTAAGCATTTGGGGGAAACGGTTGTCGTCCAATGATGTTAAAATGTCATTTCGCCATAAAACAGATTTCGGTATAATGCGGTCAATCCCACGGCGGCAAAATGATTTCAGAAAAATATCTTCAAAGAGTTCGTCCAGAGCTTCATCAATAGCTTTGTCATCATCCAAACCTACAAAAGCACAAGTACATCCATATACCACAAATCACAGATACAAAGATTGCGCAATGGTGTGTTCAAATTTGCTTCGTTCTGCGCATCTACGTCACAGTTGACTAGTGAGTTAACAGCTGATTTTTTGCTTTATAGTTTTCCTTGTGTTCGTAAGAAACATTGACAACATTTAAATGGAAAATGTTAATAATTGTGTCAATAGCTTTTAAAATTGGATTTATTACCCTAGATAAAGGTGGTGAGGCTCGTCTTAAGTTCACAAAGTGCTAATGAATGTTTTCAACTGTTTTTGAGAGCGATTTTCTGTGTAGAAACCGTCGCACTAGCAGCACAAGGAATTAGCAATGTAGAGGTATAGAGTCATCAGGATAATCGTGGTATAATAAGTGGAGCGTGGAAAACATGGGTACGTTTGTAATATACATATGTTAATCTTAATATTGCCAGTACCCACGTGTGTGCACTTTTGCTATTGTAGCTTCAGCAGCAGTATAGTAAGATATAATGCGATGAGAAGCCGAAGACTTTAGAGCCATTTCCAAATTCAGTTTGCAGCTTTAGGTATATACGTAGCCATTATTGTACATCATAGTTATGACATCAATACGGGTGGACGTAGCTGGAGTGGCCACTTCGATCAGCAGTTGCTGGGCGCTCCGTTCGGTACCATACATTTGATAAGGCGGAGAGAAATGTTTAGTTATTTGCACAGCGATTTTGGTGTGGGGGCGGAGGGGGAGGCGGCGTTGCCACCCAAACACTTCCTAAACGAAAGGGATGGGCCGCGCTCTATGAAAAGTCACCCTCTCCCCTCAGCTCCCCTCAGCAGGGGGATACACAGTTTGAAACTCTTCCGGCATCTCCACATCACTAAGACTTATCAGGAAAGTGCATTCTTAATGACACAATTTCGAAAGTCAGCAAGTGCTAGTATTGTTTTTGTGTTTGTTTATTTTAATTCATATATACATATACGTCGCCTATTGCTATCAATTAATAACACTTTTGTCTTCTAATCTAGGTGGTTTCCTCGTCCACTGATATTTTCATGATTATGGAATAAGTATGCGAGTAAAAACACCACCGACACTAAGTGCAATGCCGCAGTAGCCTCCCCCATGGAACTACACGATGGACTTTTCGAGGTGGGCGCCGCTCTGATTATACAGCCGGCACGTTTGATATGTAGCTTAGAAAATGCAGTGGTTTAAAAGTAATTAATGAGGATAAAATAGCCTAGTAGTTGTACATTTACATTATTGTTGAGCTAGTCGGTAGGTGGCTATTTAGTTTAGTGCAGCTATTTATTTGTTTTGAATTGCGATGAAAGTTTTTAATACAGTCATTCATATAATGTCGTTTTAGTGAAAGATCGCCCTATCTCGACAACCGGTTCGAAAACACCCTAAATATCTCAGAATTTGGTTGAAGAACGGTTTGCTTAGATAGGGCGCTCTTCAACCAACTTCTGAGATAATTAGGGTGTTTTCGAACCGGTTGCCGAGATAGGGCGATCTTTCACTAAAACGACATTATATGAATGACTATTAAATCTGCATTAAATAGCGTTTTTTCATTGACATATGCCTGCCAGCCATTGGAAGAGAATTTTATCGCCTATCGCCCGGATTTCACTAAGTAACTTCCGCAATAGAAAATGCTGGCAGGGATGTGAATAAAAAACAAAAAAATAAATATGTAAGTGGCCCTATGAATGTGATTCAAACTCTGAATATAATTTATATATTGGAGAAAGATTTGGTTTTTTATTAGAATTCTTATGTAGTTCACTAATGTTTTTCGAAGGTTAGAGAACTATGTTAGAATTCGATTAGAGAATGATTAGAAAAACACAAGACATTAGAATCCAATTAGTTTTCAACGTTAGAATACAATTACTTATCTAACCTTTTGGTCGATATCGAGAACTAAGTCTCCTTTTTGTAGAGTGCTATAATGAGTGTTATTTAATGAGTTTATTCAATCGTCTTATAACCTTCTACCTTAGTGAAACACATTAGAATTCAAATCGTTTTCCAATCATTCTCTAACCTAAATATCTGTTGGGAACTATCGGCCAGTCCTCGTATGCTTCAAGAATACCATGATAAAAATATTTATAAGGTACAACCGCTGAGAGCCAGCTTTAGAAATTCTGACGTTTGCTATCATTTTGAAAATTTCTCTCGCCGTCATTTCATTTGTTGGTTTTCAGTTTTACCTTTAAATATTTGTATCATGAAGAATACAATGCTGTAAATAAATGCCATGAGAAATTGTATATAATCAAAACAAGTGCCTTATCAATAAAAAATAGTTTAAGTTTGGGAATTCAAGTTACTGTTTTATTCAATTTACGCTTTTTACTGTATTGATTTTCTACAATAGACTTATTTTGTGATCGGATTCTGAAATACATTCTAGCTCTAAAAAACAGTTCTTTTACTTTTTGACTACAATTTACATGACTACTTAGGTCTAAGTGTTTCTTAAGATAATCTTTACATATATACAATTCACTGCCATTCACCTCATCAAAAACTGCTAGCAGTGCTTTCATATGCTCCATCAACATATCAGTTGGCTTTGAAAGTCCTCCTTCAGAAACATGATTCACCCAAGTATATGACGAATCAGTTTCTGGATTCATGCAGATTTCCGGATTATCTTTTCCAAGTTTGTGGCAGATGTATCCTGCCAAATTCTCCAAACCGTCGATGTTCAGGACTTCTAAATCTTCACTTTGCTCAGATACATCAGTGGAGTTCATCTCAACTGAGACCCGTTGAAACATGTTACCTAAGAATATATAAACATAAACATATGTATAGATAAACGAAATTACTTATTTTTTAATTCAATGTATCTCAGTTAACCTTTATGTTAATCTAAAGACTACATGTAGTTGTTTCAACTGGAAACAGAATGCTAATATATATATTTTTAACTTCCTTCTTTTAGTATGAGATTTTTAACGACAATATTGTTTGTCAGTGCACACATCGTCGCTACCATGCCAAACTAAAAGTGTGCGATTCGACACTTTGTTAAAGACAGTATTCTCTGCTTCTAAGAAATTCGACGATTTGCCAACTTACTTATTCTAAACGCTTGCGCAAGGTATCAAATAGAAAAAGCATTTTTGCACATTCGATAGTTTGACATGGTAGCGACGTCCTATACAAAACAAGACAAGATATATTAGTATTTTGTAAGTTTATTTACCGGTTAGAGATAAATAATTCCCTTCTAAGTCTGGGGTGTCGTCGACCTCAACGTTCCCTCCTTCAGACAATACACCTTCGTTGTGCCCAAGTATGTATGACCGCAGCCTATATTTAAACTCTTGGCGGTCAGGGTGGTCGTGAAGCCCTCCTTTCGATCTAATAATGCCAAAAAAATTTTCCAAAACATCTTGATTTAGGCGATACGTCAATATGTAGTCGATTTTGTATTTATCCCGTAAATCAGACAAAAGTAATTTCAACGCATTGTTACTTTGAAGGATACCAGAAAATAAAATATTATCGGCCTTTTCGGGAATTCCATGTGAACAAATATTGCCAACATTTATAAAGCAAGACAAAAACAAATTTTTCTCAATTTCTTTTTGTTTTGCCTTATAAATTATAGGAACGATTTATTCACATGGGATTGGCGATAAGACTGAATATAATAAAACAAATAAGAAATACAATTAAATTAAAATTCAAACCAATAACCACTTTGGACAAAAACCTAAGTATTATAATGTAAGTCATATATACATATGTATGTATACCTCTTTGGAATGGTAGCAGAGTATTTTTTCCAACAACTCTCATCGCTGAAACCATCGCGGTCATTTGTTCTAAAAATTATTCTGGGTATTTAAAGCCAAACCATAGGCATGTAGTCGCTCCCTTACTCCTTCTTTGGGCACTCTGACATTCATTATGTCAAACCAGTCATTCGTCTACAAAGTAAATGTTTTAAATGTGTATTTTTAAAAATTAAAATACTCGTTATTACTCACAATTTTAAAAAGTTTAAAGCATTCTTCCCAATTCTCGTCCTCTAATAAGCCCAAACTAGCTGCTCGTGATATGGCTTGAGCAATGGTGTGCGAGAATAATTTTGTAGCTAGCTTAACCTTTTGCCTTTCTGCTCCCGTAACAAGCAAATGCTTTTTTGAAATTTTGTGGGTGATTGACAGATCACTGGAAGTAAACGCAAGAAGTTTTAAAATGATGTCCTTTTTAATTACTTTTCCATTTATGAGGAATCCGTGATCAACAAAATGATTCCTTTGCAGTTTGATTAAATGGGGAACATCAGCGAAAACTACAATTCTGTCCCCTTCATGTGAAAACCTGTAAAAGAAGAAACAAAAGTATTAATATGTATTTTCGGAATTTTAGAACTATGTCTAAATATACCAAGGCTTCTCCATATCCACTTCAAGCTCATTGTATAGTGCTATGTTACTTCCACCCAAGACACTAACAATGGCCACAACATCGTATCCACATTTTTTGACTGTTGATAAAATGTGCCAAAGTATATTTTTTGTCATTTTGCAGTCATACTCATAAAATACAGTCTGCTTCCATTTACGTATTAAACCTGAAAGAAAATAAAGATTGACATTAATTAGATAAAATGCTGGAATTTTAGATATGTACCTCTCAACATTGCAACTTGGACGTAATTAACAGGAGGTAATGTGGCATCAGATGATCTGTCATAGCAGAAAGCCCTTCGCACTTTCATCTCATCAAAACTGAGTACGCAAGTTTTTTGCGCTTGTGTTAACTCAGTTGCTGCCGTCAATAATTTCGTCACGGGCTCTATGATACCTGGAGATATATCAATTTTTTTCGACCACCATTGAAGAGTTCGAACAGCTGGTAAGGGAAAATTATTTCTTTTCAAAAGCTTATATGCTTTTGGACTCGCTGAATACAGCGTAATGGACTTGGCAATGTCCTCCTCTTTCCAGTTCAACCGCTTGTTTCCACTTTTCAATTTTTCAATCTGCCAGTAAGAAACTATGTAGTATTGTGTGTAAAATTATTAATAGAGTAGCGGTACTTACCTGACCTTTAGTGAAAATGCAACCGAGCTTTTCTTCCAAATTTGCACGGTGAAATTCCGAAGTTTTGATACAAATCCTTAGGCGTTTTATCTCTGCCGTCTGCTTAAGGTTATTTTTGTTCAAAGTTGAGATACTCTTCTTTAGTTTTTCTCTACAATGTTCATATAATCATGTACATTACTTAACATTGGTTTCAATTATCCAACTCACATTTTCACTTCCAATTGTTGAATTCTTTCCTCTTTCTCGTCAACGACTTCTTCCAGCATGGGTTGTAGTGCTTCTTCATCATGCTCAGTACGCATTTCTTCAACAAAACTAACTGGATTGTTTAACAGGGTTGATACAAGTTGCTTCCTTGAGCGAGACTCAATTCTTTCCTGACGCTCATCAGTCTTCTTTGAGCCCGTTGATAAAATGGTCGGAAACGCACTGGTTAGCAGCTTTGTAGGATTTCTGGAGCATAAACCTAAAATAATATTTGATATGTTTTATAAAATAAAGTCACTACAATACCGTTTCTCTTCTTACCCATTTCAAACTGCAAATTCCTTTCGAAATCTCCTGGTGAAAAGTGAACTTCACATATGCACGCATTTTTTACATTGATTTTGTCTTCCCGACGACAGAAATGAATCCACTTTTTTGCGAGGACTTTGTCCTTAGGAAAATGGAAAAATCACCATTTATTTTCGCCTTTTTTATTTTGTTATTATCACAACCGTATACTGAGCAACGCATTTAACAAAGCGCGGGCGAATTTCAGGTGTCAACCGTGACGTCATCAAAACAGCTGATTGCAAGCAGACATGCGCATTGCCTAATCTTTTTCTCTATCATTCTTGTCCATATACATAGTTCAAATAAATATAAACTCACACATTTACTTACTTTGCATGATATTAATTTCATCCAATGTATTTTCGCACACAAATTGAATAATTTTATTCTTTTCTGTGTTCCTCGGCATTTTGCGTTTGCGATTCACAAATGTAAACAAGAAACAGCTGATGCTTGTAGCTAGCATAAGTATTTATAACAAGGGGTGCTCACTCTCAATCAGTTACACTTACACAAGATACAAGGAAGAACGAATACCACTACTAAATGCAGTTGGTCCTTTAAGAAACTAAGTAGGATGTTGCTTCATTTCGGATTCTAGGGAAGCATAAACTTCTTTGTGATAACGCATGATGTATAGCTCCTTGAATCTGCAACATACATTAGTTTTATCATGCGTTTTCATTTATACATTAGCAGACCCGGCGAACTTCGTCTCGTCCAAAATAAAATTTTTGTATTGAAACATTTTGGTCTAACATTTTCACCAACAATTCACGTTCATGATTTTCAGTTACGCCTTTATCTTCTAATATTACGGTTTGGTGGCTGTTAGAAGGCATATTTCCATTGCCATCTTAAATAACCTTACAAAACTGTACATGTGAACAAAGAAACGTAATAGTTTCAGAGCGTTTGAAAGGCGCCACGTTCCCTTTTCAAATAGCCCCAATTTTCTTGAAGAGTATGGGATTGATTTCATATATCTCCATACCATTTTCGTGTAATCTACCATGGGAGGTGCCACGGGCCTTTTTCAATAGCCCCAATTTTTCTTCATGACCACGCGACCGATTTTATATATCTTGTACATACCAAGTATGCAGTATGAAAAATTCGGAGGTGCCACGCCCCTGCACCTGGCGGTATGAAATATACTTTACATCCGATTCCCCTACCTACCATATACACACAAGAAATTTCATAAAGATCGGTCGAGCCGTTTAGGAGGAGTTCGACCACTAACACCGTGACAAGAGATTTTTATATATTAGATAAGCACGATGCGATTTTGCGGGAAATTTTGCCCCTTATTCTAATTACCTTAAACGAGCAATTTTTGTGTATATGTATATGTATCCATAAGTTTCTCGGCAACGGCTCTAACGTAGCCGTTTAAAAAAGACTTTCGAAGTTGTATTTCTTCCAATTGTCAAAAACTTTTTATTTGTCACGGGGAAAATACCGTAAAAATTATTTGTATCGTGCGAATATCTATAGAAATTATCAGGGTTTGAAAAACTGGTAGCACAGCGACAACAGCCAAGCATTTGTTTTCTTATAAATTGTTGTTGCTTTGCTAGCCGGCAATTACAAGTACCTGATAAAGATCTTCCAGAAGCAATGAGCTTAGCCGACGACGCTTTAAAGGAATTTGAAGAAATGCGACAAGATGCAGAAAAAACTTTCATTTGCTTTTCGAACACGTAGAAGAAGTATGCACCAACCTAGGTACATAAATCAAAGTACCGCGATACAGCAGTCGCCAAAAGAATCGCTTTAATGTGAAACCGGAGGCGCCGAGGCAAACTATCGTATTGCTTTTTACATTCCCTTCCTTGATACATATATTGCTCATTTGAAAAGCCGGTTCCTAAACCATAAATTAGTTTTAAATAATTTTAGGGTTTTGTTTCCAAAGTATGATTTTAACGAAAAAAACGGAAGAATTGTTTGCTTTCTATGAAAAAGTAATCGAATGCTCGAAACAAAACTTTCTTCTGGAGGTAAAAATGTGGAAAAAACGAGTTTCACACGAACATTTTCGAAATGCTCTCGAAGCATTACATGTAGCCAATACAACGTCTTTTGGGAAGGTTTTTAAGATCTTACGTATATTGGCACTTTTGCCCGTTCCAATAGCCACACCTGAACGAAGCTTTTCATGCCTGAAAAGAACTAAAACCTACTTGAGAAATACAACATGTCAAGAAAGGCTCAACGGTCTAGCATCTATGAATATTCACAACGATATAAATAAATTTTTCAGTTGACGAAGTTCTAGAAGAATTTTTCAAAAAACCACGAAAAATTTGAAAATTCCTCATTTCATTGATTTATAAGTAAAAAGAAAAATTTAATGTGCTTAAAATTATCATAATGTTTTATAAATAAAGAGAAAAATTGAATATATGATTTTAAAAACTCGTGTTTGAAACTTTATTATGCATACTTTCTTCTAAAGAGTGAAATATTATTCTTTGACTTGAGCGGGGGGTTTTAACCCCCCTCCCCCCGTGTATCCGCCACTGGTTTCCCCATAAGTTTAACATTACAATCCAAATGTTTAAAATGTTTTTTTCCTATATATGCAGCTCATCTTACTAAAAAACAATACAATAATTAGGAAGGGTAAATGCGTTTTTTTATGTGAATACAATGTAATATTTCACTTACCTTCCGTTTTATATTCACTATCGCTAAAAGCTTTAATTTCTTTTAAATAATTATATTTTTTTTTTAAGTAATCAATCAATTTTTTACTTTTGGTAAAGAATATGGTAGCTCGATTTCAAAAGAAAATGCCGAAAGCACAGTTTATGTCAATTGGGAGCAATGGCGGCTAAGAAGAAG